CTGGCCATGAACCTGTAACTTCTACAGCATTCTCAGTAGCTGTGTTTACCCTAAAAATTTATTCTTTAAAAAATGTAAATAAAATATTTTTCTACTCAGCAAACATTACTGAATTTTCTTATAATTAAATCTGTATCACATGTCTGATACCCATGTGTCAGTGACGTAGCATTATAAAACATTTTATTACCCAGTGCCTCTAAGTAGTCATTAGCCTTCTTAGAGACTATGAACTATTTTATCCATCTTTAAAATTACTGTCAAGTGTGAAAACTTGAAATTGTCTTACAACTATAAATGAGTGGAGACCATGGAACTTTGTGAAACACTCTATATTTTGGGTCTACACAATTCTGGATAAATTCAATCCACAGTGTTATACAGCTCTGGCATAACATTCTCTTTTTGGTGGTTCTGGGATCAAAATAGGGCACTATCCATGCTAGGTATGTACTTATTGAATAATATCCCTGGTTCAGTTTTATATTCTAATGTTTGCATCTGCCTCTCTTCTTAGTTACTTCAGAAACATTTAAGAAAACATCTATTTGCTCATTCTCAAAAATTTATGAAGTGTCATTCAAGATCCATAGGGATGGTGGTATACACCTGAATCCCAGCAACTTGGGAGGCTGACAGAGAAGGATCTCAAGTTCATGCCTAGTCTCAGCAACTGAGATCCTGTCTCAAAAAGGCCTGGGAATGCAGCTCAGTGGTATAGTACCCCTGGATTCAATGCCTAGAACAGTAAGGAAAAACACAGAAAAAGAAGCCATTTGAATAAAGACTGAAGGAAACTATCATAGTACTTGAGGATGAAGCTCAGAGACTCACCTTCACGGGACACATCACATATAAGCTTCCAAGCTTTTATAATATCTGGATTTTTACTCTGGAGAAGAACAACACATTGGTATGCTCGCTTCTTAAATTCCTCCTCAGTATCGAACCTCCTCTTAGATTCCTGTTTTTTAATAAAAGCATGGTGTATAAGAATCCAATCCTGTATTTCTAGATAAAAAAATTTATGCTTTTCTAAACACACCATGAAAAAGTGAAGATTTAGAACAATGGAACAAATGTTCTACCAAAAATCAATTACATTATCACAGGCACTAGGGCAATAGCTCTGTGGTAAAGTACTAGCATGCATGGGGCCCTATGGAAAGACCCCAGCTCTGTCCAAAGGAAAAAGAATACTCTTACAGATTAAAGTGACAAGCAGCTGTATTCTTTCAATATTTTCTTGAAAATACATATAACTATCACTACAGTTTTTGTTCTACTTTCCCAATCCACAAAAGCCTTTTGTGTTCAAAGAGGTAGTGAACCCAGAGGACTGAATTTTCTGTGCCTTAATCTCCACTTTGGATATGGTGATTTTTTTCAATTAAAAAAAAATTGTTTTCATTGTTTCATTTTGGAAGCCAATACAAGCTTACTGAAGGGGAAGGACAAAAATTAATCAATCTATTTTGGTGTATAATTCCAGAATTTTTTTTTTGCTAATATATACCTATGTTTTAACAAACACTGAAAGTCACTTTTCCTTACTGCACTTTATAAATTTTAGCAATGGATTACAAATAATTTCTTGTATTAATAGGTCTGCCTCATTATATTAAAAAATGAGAACCCCAAATAATTTTATTGTAGCAATTTCATTTCAATAAACATTTTGCTTATTTTCATTAAAAAATAACAAAAGAAATGAACTCTACAAACATTTACTTTTCAACAAAGCAATCTTATTTTTGGGACTTTAGGGCAATACTGTAAAGTTTGTTACACCAATCCAACAAAGTAATGTGTAGTTATGTCAAAGCAATATACAAAAATGTACAATGTTAAATAAGCACAAAAATATGATAAATGATATAAATATGTATGAATTAGTCAAGGAAATCAAAGACAGTGACCACTGTGGGTGTTTTAAAATTATGGATGATGTGTAAATCTGTCTTCTAAAAGCTTTCATATATACTTATATTTTAAAAAACATTGAGGATTTTAAAAATACTATTTTTTAGATGTTGATAGGCCTTTATTTTATTCATTTATTTATATGCAGTAATGAGAATTGAACCCAGTGCCTTACACAGGGTAGGCAAGTGCTCTACCACTGAGCCACAACTCCAGCCCCTCAAAATGTTTTAAACATTTAAAATGGACTTTCATTAACAGCTGCCTACACAGCTTGATGGCGTGTGCCTATAATCTCATATATTTGAGAGTCTGAGGCAAAAGGATTCCAAATTTGAGTCCGAATTCAACTCAGAGAAAACCTTACAAAAAAACACAGGGGGTGGTTGGAGGCTGGGGACATAGCTTAATGGTAGAGTGATGGTGAGTTCAATCCCCAGTATTGCAAAATAACAAATGAACATATTCACTTAACAATAGATAATGTGCTATAATTTAGTTTTTAACAACACCGAAGAACAAAGATGATATGTTAAGGGGTGAGCAGCTTTTTTCTATGCACAGAACCAAATGCAATGGATCCTGTTGTACTGTATAATTTTTACAAAAACAAAGTGCAGCGGCTGGCATGGGTGTGGATGCCTATGATCTTGGCTATTTAAGAGGTTGAGGCAGCAGGATTTAAATTTTCCTGAACAAGACTCAAAATTTAAAAAAAAAATTAAAAAAATTAAAATCCAGATAGGCATGTAGCTCAGTGATATAGTGCCCCTGTGTTAAGTCCCAAGAACTACAAAAACAGAACAAAGAATCCAGGAATCAAGTTTTTCAAGTAGGTGAACTCAGTCAAGCAGCTTTTCATCTGTGTGGTAAAATATTGTTATGGCTAGGCCAGTATACTTACACGTCTGTTAAGTACTTTACATGTTTATGTTTCTTGCATGTTTACATGTTAGGTAATTTGAGTTCAAGAGGGTCACTTCTATATGGGTGTAACCATGACTTTCACTTTACTTTCATTTAACCCCATTAAGCTCCAGTCGTTTCAAATATTATTTCAAACTTCCCAAGGAAAATGGATAATTATGACAAGTGACAGATACAAATATAAAAGATAAATGGTATCAAACCTTATAAAAAGCCTGAAGATCCCCAATAGGAGGTGAGACTGTCAGATAATCTGGAAATTTATCCTGCAGGTGAGCAATGAGCATGCCAAACTGGGTCCCCCAATCTCCTACATGGTTTAACCTAATACCAATCAGAAAATATAAAATAATTTATAAAATGACAAAGATGTTTAAATAAGAGCAAGTACATTCCATGAGAAACGATAACATTTAAGAGGTAGCACATGACATGTAGTAATAACTATTGACTTGATTACTTCCTCAAGTGGACTGCAAACATCAAAAGCAAAGCCTTTGTTGGTTACTTTTAACTTTGTAAACCTAGTCACAAGCTGAAGATAGTAGGTCACCAAGATTTGCAGAATTCTTATCAGTGGACTGCAATCTGTTTAGTGAATTGGACAATCATAGTTGAATCAATGTCGGTTATTCTCACAGTATTATAAAAATTTTTAACTTTCAATGAACTGTTTAATATAAGTTAGACCAATGGTTCCTAAATAACAATGGACAAAATTCTTCACTGTCTATCTAATCCCAAGCCATCAGGTCCACTCAAGTAGATGATTATGATAATGAGATACTCATTTATCATTGGTTTCCCTTATTTGTCTCATGGTAGCCAGAGTAATCTTTTCGTGTGTGTGTGTGGGGCGGGGAGCACCGGCATTGAACTTGGGGGCACTTGACCACTGAGCCACATTCCCAGCCCTATTTTGTATTTTATGTAGAGACAAGACAACTCTCACTGAGTTGTCCTAGCACCTTGCTGTTGCTGAGGCTGGCTTTGAACTTGCCATCTTCCTGCCTCAGCCTCCTGAGCTGCTGGGATTACAGGTGTGTGCCATGGCACCCAGCCCAGAGTAATCTAATTAAACTCTGGTTGTTCTCCAATGGCTTCCCACTATACTTAAATATCTGCAAGCCAACCTCATGTCCCTAACAGCTCAGGAGGCTGAGGCAGGAGGATTCCAAGTTGAAAGCCTGTCTCAGCAAAAGCGAGGCACTAAGCAACTCAGTGAGACATTGTCTATAAATAAAATACAAAACAGGGCTAGGGATGTGGCTCAGTGGTCGAGTGTCCCCACTTCAAACCCACATACCAAAAACAAATAGAAATATCTGCAGAATGAGTGCATGGAGGAGGCTCATCCTAGTTTAACCCGGAGTCTTAAAAACTAACAAGTAAAAACAGTTCAAAGGAGATGTCCAGGATACATTAAAAAGCTTAATTGGTAATTGTAAAGCAGAATTAAGCTTTAGAAACATTAACTTAATCAAAGGATTGCTTTCTCAACTATGATGTATGATTTTCTATAGAAATTTCCAGAGCTGGGGATCTAGCTCAGTGGTAGGACACTTACTTTGCCTAGCAAGTGTGAGGATCTCGGTTCAATCCCCAACACTTGGTGGGAAGGGAGAAGAAAATTTGAAATTCCACAGGCAAAAACACATACCTTAACACATCATAGCCTGCAAATTCGAAGAGGCGGCACATACTCTCTCCTATGATTGTTGACCTAAGGTGGCCTACATGCATTTCTTTAGCTATATTGGGAGAGGAAAAGTCAACTACAACCTGATTCGTATGAGAAAAAGAAAAAAGGAGTATAAGCATTTTATTCTGTTAATAGACTAACATTTAATAATAAACTCAGACCTAAACATCAGTCTGGGTTATGTTTCAACTATGCTAGACTTTCTGTTGAATGTACTTATACAGTATTAACTGAAAAAGAATCAGAATTTATTTATATAAATTACTATTTTAGTATTGCCTGCATTTGTATCAGGTAGCTACTTTAAAAGCTTATGAAGTTTAAAAAAGAAGTTCAAAAAACTTAAGACTAATTAGAAATACTACTTCATAATTACATTAAATAAGAGCAAGTACACTCCATTAGAAACAATAACATTTATAATCAAATATTAATGATTAAGTGTCAATAAAAAAATGAAAGTCATTCCTAGTTATAGCACTCTTCATGAACTTCTAAGATATTACTATATCAATAGAAGACTGTACATATACCTTTTTTCTCTCTTCAAGGGGAGGTAGCTGAACTCCATTCACCAGAAGATTGGTCAACTGTTCTGATACAAAATCCTTTCTTAGATGGACATTAATAAAACCTAATAAACAGTGGAAGAGAAAATTTCAGATAGTCTCCCATCTTGAATGACTGGTGACTCCCAAGAATTTTTCTCAATTTCACTTATGTTGCCTTCAGAAAGTTCATCAGGCTTTGTAAAACATTTCAGGATTCCAATATCACCTAATATTTCCACTAAAGCCCTCTTGTGACTTCTAGTCTCAGTATCTATTTCAAACCTTCACCCTCTCCTGAGAGCTTCCTACTTAATTCAGGACCTTTTCACCTTCAGCAGATAATCTGTTCATCTCTTGACAGAAAAGAGGATTTTTTTTTTTAATATTTTTAGTTGTGGACAAATACCTTTATTTTATTTATTTGTATGTTGTGCTAAGGATTGAACCCAGGGCCTTGCATGTGCTAGGCGAACACACGACTGCTTAGCCCCAGCCCCAGCCTAGAAAAGAGAATCTTTTGCCATTGTCTATTCTCTTACTGCCGATAAAAACTGAACAACAGGGAGAAAAAAACTAACTCACCCAAGATCAGGCAGTTAGTAGTGAAGTCTAGACAAAAACTTCAGCATCTTAACTTGCAGCCAAGGTGCTTTCCCATCTTGTTCAGTGTATAAATGTTCCTTTTTTTTCCAGGTGGTGCTGGGACTGAACTTAGGGCCTCCCAAATGCTAACTAAGTGCTCTCTGGACCAGAGAGCCTGCCCAGCCTCAGTGTGTAAACTTTAACTGTTTTCCCTCTCTTGCTCTCCCCTCCCCCCCGACAATTTCAGAAATAATTTATCATCAATACAATTATTAGAAGGATAAATTTGTATCATACCAGGACCAGCAATTTCAACTTTTTCAATATACTCATTGTTCGGCAGGTGTCTAGTAATGTTTTCGGCAATTTCTCTTGGATTAACTTTCTGTTCCTTGGTTTTGAGCATCTATATTACAATATAAAAAGTTACACAACAGGTTTTAGCAAATTACTTGGAAATGCATAAGAGACAAAACATGAGATATACTTTGCAAAAGACTCATCAAAATGCAGAAAGTATCAATAATGCCAAGAGAATAGAAGAGCAGCAAAACCACATGATCTCCACTTCAAAATAAGTTATATCTTCCTTAAAAAGGTCCAGGTATGTGTGTATAAGTCCATAGTTATGAAGCCTGATGCTAGCATGTTTATATTTCTGATGGTCAAGTCACGAAAGTGTGCAATATTCAGACTTGAGTAATAAATAGCACTCTCAGAAAAAGGTGTGGACTTGTTAGAGTAAGCTTTTCATATTCAACAACAACAAATACGGAAAGCTGAAAGTTACAACAAGCCTGGTGTAATAAACCAGAGACACATTAGGTAATATAGTTATTCAAAATAGGACACTAGGTCAGGCTGGTGGCACATGCCTATAATCCCACTCAGGAGATCGTTGAAGGAAAATTCCAAGTTCAAGTCCAGTTGGGACAATTTAGACCTTGTCTCAAAATTTAAAAAGGGCTGTGGATGCAGTTCAGAGGTATAGAACTCTTGGTTCAAACCCTAGTACTACAAAAACAAAGGAGGGGGAATTCTGTTTAAAAATATAACACATAACCCTAAGTCAAAGATACCACCACTATGCCAAATATTTGATGGAATGCTAGGTATTAATCGTCTTTCTTTCTTTTGGTAGTGGAGATCAAACCCAGGGGCAATTTACCACCGAGTTACATCCCAATCCTTTTTATTTTGAGACAGGGCCTCGCTAAGATGCTGAGGCTGGAGTTGAGCTTGTAATTCCTCCTGCCTCAGTCTGCCAAGTCACTGAGATTATAGGCCTGCCCCACATGCTAGGCACCAGCAACTGGCTAACTTTATTAATTACTTACTTTCAAATAGTCATTAAATATACTCAGCAATCCTGGATATAATAGGAAAAACCACAGCAAAACAGTACCAAACACTACTCCTTAATAATAACAATAAAAAAATAAAACTGAAAATTCAAATTTGTGCTTTTAATTTTTTTAAAGAACATTAGAAACATGTTCAACTTTTCTTTTGGAATTAGGGATTGAATCCAGGAGTGTTTAACTTCTGAGCCACATTCCCAGCCTTTTAAAAATTTGAGACAGGTCCTCACTAAGTTGCTGAGGCCAGCCACGAACTTGTGATCCTCCCGGGTTAGCCTCCTGAACTGATGGGATTATAGGTGTGTGCCACCATGCCCAGCTCAAGTTTTTCAAACTTTTAATGTGGGAAATGTCTTTTTCGATACGGATACAACAACCTGCTATTCACGTGAATGGTAATGACGACCATACCTAAGAGAATCAAATCACCCAGTGAGTCATAATAACACATCACCTGAGAAATGCCCATGGCACTATTACACTGATAGTCCCCAAACTTGGGTTGCTGACTTGGTGTTACTATCAGAGGAGGATTTTCCAGGTCTGGATATGCGGCCTTAATGGCACATCCAAAGACTTCTTGTAGGCGGCTATTGATGTTAATCATATTTTTAGTTGGTTTGTTCCTCTCTGCCTGAAGACTCTGCAGGAAAAGAATGAAAATGTATCAACAAAATACCATCATACAATTTCCTCAAATACTGTCAAGAACTTTCATATGTCTCCTGAGATCTGCTGAGACATGGAGTAGGACAAGCCCATCCCAGGATACACAAGACATGCTTAGACATGAGACCTTAGTTTTTACATTTGTTTTATCAGAAACTGGGAAGGACCTGGGGATGGGTGCATAGCTCAGTGGTACAGCAACTGCCTAACATGTGCAAGGCTTTGGTTCAATCTCTAGCATGACCTCTTCTTCCCCTGAAAAAAGAAACTGGGAGGTAAAAAGGGCTGAATCTCAGCATCTCCAAAGCTCTGAGTAAATAGAAGTATAAAGCCAGTGCTGAATCACTTCACATCAAACACTGGAAGTGAAACTCACTGGACAAAACTACACACACAAAATATATTATTTCCATCAAAATGCTGATTTCTTCAAGGCATAAAAGGGAAAAAAATTTCATAAAATTCCACAAAACAGGCAGTTTTGTCTTAATATAAATAATACCCATGTTGGCTCTATCTCTACCTCCTATTTAAGATAGCACATAATTTCCTCTATCATTGCACTTACACCTTCACAAAATTATCCATTTCCACCATTATACTCCTGGATGCAGGTGTCTAATTTATGGCTCTATCCCTGGCACCTAGCAATGCTAGGACCTGACATAAGAGGTTATCCAAAAAAAAAAAAAGCAAAGCAAAACAAAATTGCTCCACTCTCCAACACAGCAACAGTAAAATATTCCCCTATATCCAAAAAAAAAAAAAAAGAGCAGGCCGGGTGTGGTAATGCATAGTGCATACTTGTAAACCCAGCACCTTGGGATGCAGGCAGGAGGACTGTGAGTCCGAGGCCTGGACAATTTAGTGAAACCCTGTCTCAAAACAAAATAAAATAAAAAGGGTTGGGGGTGTAGCTTAGCAGTGGAGTTCTCCTGGGTTCAATCCTCAGTACTGAGGGAAAAAATAGTGAGTAACCTGGCATAGTGGTATGTGCCCATAGTCCCATCTACTAATGAGGCTGAAGCAGAAGGAAGGAGTCCTAGAGTTCAATGCCAGCTTGGGCAACATAGTGTGATCACATAGCAAATAAATAAATAAATAAATAAGGCAATGGGGTTGGACCTCACAAATACAAACCTTACTTGTTTGCCCACTATGTTTATGCAAGGCCCTGTGTTCAATCTCCAGCACCTGCCTCCCACACATGTGAATGAACAAATAAATTACAAATGGAAACACTTATGTTAATCAAATTATCCACAGAGGTCAGAGCAAGACTGTAATCCCAATTACTCAGGAAGCTAAGGCAGGAGGATCATAAGTTCAAGGCTACTCTATATAATTTAGTCAGACCTTTCTCAATAAAAATAAAAGGGCTGGGGATGTAGAACACTTCCCTAGAAGAAGAGAGGCCGTGAATTCAATCCCTAACATTATACA